GCCACAAAGTTGGTTTGAATTACAAGGTCAGCAGTTCAAACCCACCAGAAGCTCCTTGGAAGCCCTATACATTGGGTTATTATGACAGCACTTACCAACAACAACAACAGTATACACTGGGGTGTGTACAATGTTTCTCAAGCAAACATTATGTTGGACTGATGTTTCTCAAAGGTGTGTGTGGGCAACACTGTTCTAATGCACATCAAGGGAATCAATCCCCTTCCTGCTTCCAGTCAACAGCATTTATTGCATTTGCTCATCTAATGTAGATATCATCTAATGTAGGCACATTGACTTACAAGCAAGCTTGTATCACCTAGTTCAGGAACAATAGTCCTCTGTCTCCTATCATAACATCTATGACTGGAGCGGGAAGACAAAGGGGAAGTCTGCCTTGTTTTCGAGATTTGTCCAGATTCTGCACCTTCTTGGGGCATTTGAGAGGCAGTGTCTCTGGTGAAGAATCCTCTGGATGGTACAAGAACTTGGCTATTAACCAAAAAGTTGACTGTTCAAGTCCACCCAGAGACACCTTGGAAGAAAAGCTTGGTGATCAACTTCTGCAAAAATCAGCAATTGAACACCTTATGGAGTACAGTTCTACTCTGACACACATAGAGTTGCTATGAGTCAGAATCGACTGGAAGGCAACTGTTTTGTTGTTGTTGTTCTCCCTGGTGCAGTTTTTCATAGAACCAAAGGTCTCCTGTGGATGAATCTGCTTCCAGTTAGAGACTACGCAGGCAGGGATTGAGAGCAGGTTGACAAGCAGCCAGTGGTTGTACCAGATGCTACGCAAATCTGAGGTGTGCAAAGGTCCAAACCCCAGCTCTTTGACTCTATGGCTGTTCAGTGTGGATATCATTAGGACCCACTTCACAGAATGGCATGGGGGACTGCAAAAGAAGGTGCACACCAAGTAGCTGGCACACAACAACCATTGACAACCATCTTTGGGACTGGGGAATGAGAAGAAATAATGCTTCTCAGATAAAACTTAAATTTTGGAAACATTTCACAAAAGCTCTTCCATTAAGCTGCTTTTCCAAGAACAGAAGAGTAAATTTTATTTTAATATGCCTTTTTTCTCTATTTCCCTGAAATGCGATAAAACAATTCTCATTTCTGGCCTCAGGTCATTCCTGAGTACCCTTAGTACCCAGTCTTCCTTACTGAGCACTGATAGACTAGAATATCAGCTATCCAGTGCTAGATCATGAACATGTGAAGATGAGTAGGTCATCAGCTGGAATTCTGGTCCCTTACAGTCCAGAACACAGGCCAGCAAACACTGTGAGAAGGGATGACGTGCTCCAGTGCCCCTGGGGGAACCAGCTGGTACTCCCAGCTCAAAGTAGGCTCTTAATAAGTTTCAACTGCATAAAGGAATGAGTGAACAAATGAATGTAATCCACACTGGATAAAAAGGAGGCTTTCTTTGATTTGTGGGACAAGATATTTTTGAGATACTGTTGTCGTTAAGTGCCATCAAGGCGGTTCCCACTCAGCACCCTAAGGTTTCCAAGGAGCTGCGGGGGAGTTTGCACCACTGACTTTGTGGTTCAAACTGAGCTTGTAGGCCAGTGCTTTATCCCAGAGCACCACAACAGTGCTTCTCTTTGTCATTTCAAGTAGGAGTCCAGAGTTTGTCATTCTTTATTCCCAAAAACTGTCAGGGAGAGAAGCAGAAGCTACTGGAAAAAACCTATATTTGTATGGGCTTGTCCTGATGTCAGGGACCATCCTGATGGTCCTGGGGAAGAGTGGAGGAGCCAAGGCCTGAGGGGTGGTCCTTGCGTCTGTGAACAAGCCCACCTCAAGGGTGGCAGTGTGTGTTGGGATATTGGTGCTGTGGGAGGCCACTGGGGCAGCCTGGCAATGAGGGAAAGCAAATGTGACAGTCCATTTGTGACTGAGGTGGAGCTCCCTGCCAGCTTGACAGGGTGGCAGCTTGGAGCAAGAAGTTAGGTGGTTTTAAAGAGAAATTAATAATCCTTGCGCTCTCTAAAACTGTTACTGCCTTTTTCCCTAGACAGAGGCACACCAGTTCAAGGTTCGTTGTCCCTTCATGCTAGTCAGTTGAGGTCTTCTAATGGTTTCTTCCTGAGGGTGCTTCAAGGCTGAGAACTTAGAGCTGGACATAACAGGTGACAAGCTGGAGACAGAGGGGAAGGTGGCTTTCTTCCTTTCTGCTTCTATTGCTCCTATTAGAATTCTAGGTATTACCTTGAGAGAGAAAGATATTGTCTCCAAAGCCTGGGTCTTCTGCCTCAGCCATCCTTGATCAATAAAAGGCAGAGCTGACTGACACACTAGTCCTTTTTTCACACCCTTGTCTAGAACTCTCACCTCTGCTTAGCACCGCTGCAGTCTGCCTTCGTGGTGATTACAGCCGAGTACTGTACACCCAGCTGTCCTCCAGGATTGCTGGGAGTTGGAATTGTTTAGCAGCATTGGGTTGGATTTGGTTTTTGGTTGACTCACGCTCCTAGAGGAAATTCAGGGTTTGATTCCTCCATGTTTCTGTTTAAAGACATCTTATTTAACACAAGGGTGAGTCAAAAAGTATTGCTATAAAAATCACAGACACCTTTATTAAATGAAGATATCAAGAGGTGAAGCTCTTGTTTCTCAACATCTAGGTTTATATACTTCTGAAGGTGGCATTTCTCTCTCTCGAAACCTCCCCTGAAGAATCATGTGCCTTTGACCAACACCTTGTCAAAACAGCACTTTCGGCATCCTTGAGGGATTCCAATCGTATTCCATTTACATGTTCGTAGATTTTGGGAGCACAAAGAAGTCTGAAGGGGCAAGATCAGGCCTGGAGGGAGGGTCGGGTAAAGTTTCCCAATGAAAGTCTTGTAGGACAGTCCTGCTGAGAATAAGGCATTTTGCTGTGATGGAAAAAAAAGAATTCCTAGGAGCAAATTTTCTGGCCTTTTTCTCACCAATGCAATTTTCAGTTTTCTTAAAACTTCTTCCTAGAAACAAAGTCTCTTTAATTTTCCTGGCTTTTGAGAAGACCTATCAAGATTTTCCCTTTGGAGTTCCCAAAAAGAGTCACCGTAACTTCCTGTGCTGACTTGGCGGCCTTGCATTGTAAGCGGTCCGGCAGATGTACACTCAGGTACACTCAGCATCTCGTCAGCTTGCATGGTTCTTTCTTGCCACTCTAGAGTCTCTTATGGATGACATGCTCCCATCTCTTCTTCATCTACAATCCTCACTGCTCAAGTCTGAGACTTCTTAGTGGTGCTTTATTGCTAACTGACAAGTGGGAGGTTTCGGTCCATCCACAGTTCCTTGCAAGAACGACCGGTAATCTACTTCTGAAAAATCAGCTATTGAAAATTCTAAGGAGCACAGTTCTACTCTGATACACATGAGGTCACTACGAGTCAGAATCAACTCAACAGCAACTGGTTTTGTAGACTCATTGGACTGTTGCAGTTGCATCCTTCTCTCTTTCTCTGCTCTACTTAAGCATTATCCAACTCCTGCAACCTGGGTTTCCAAAAATAATTTGCACTGGGTTCCTTCAAATTCCCATTGCTTACAGGCTTTGGGTAAGCACTCATCCAAGCTTTGTCACTATCTAGAGTCCAAACTCAGGCAAGTCAAAATCTCACTGGGCTTTAGTATCCTCATCTAGTAAGCCAAAGAACCATGTTAATAAGTATGACTTGTCCCTCTAGCTCAAATTACAATTCTATGCCTTCCGGATCCTTCTCAGCTGGAGCAAAATTCACTTCTAAGCATGGATAAAAGCATCTTTGTACTTGTACTGTACTGCATCAATCAATTCAACAAATCATCTGAACACCCACTTTATTTCTGCTGAGGAAAGAAGAGCCTCAGAGCTAACATGGTCCCTGTCCTCGATAGCAGCACTACATGTGTGTATAAATGGGGACCAACCTTCTACTGGATACGTTTGTTAAGAGTAGGAGCCAGCTGTGTATCCTTTTCAGGGCTACACACAAAATATGTACAAATAAATGCCTGCCAGGAGTATGACAGGCTCTTGTGCACTTAAACCTCACCTGCTTACTACATGGTTCTGCTCTTGGATGAAGATCAGGAGGCAGCAGGAAGCCAACTGGGACTACTTTTCTGAATACCAATGGGGACAGGTATAGAATGCTAAATAAAAGGGAAACAAATGATGCTAAAGGTAGTCTCTATTTTTATAAGCATTGGATTGAGATTTTAAAATAAGGGTACTTTACGCTTCAGATAGAAGACTCTAGCTTCGTTTTCTTCATTTGCTAGCTGCTCAGCAAGGTGTGGATCTAGTATCAAGAACACAAAATTGATTTTTTTTTTTAAGTACCCAGTGAGGATACATTTAATAAATAAAAATGGCAATGTGGCTAAAGTGGTCAGCTTCTACCACAGATTGTTGGAATTGTAATTTCTCAAAGTTTTTTTTCTTTTTTCTCGCAGTGACTTTTCAAACAGCATAAATGAACTGCTTCCGGGAACTATAAAGTATTGAATACTGCTCAACAAGTGGTCTCTGGGGTAGAACAACCTGGAAAGGCACATTTCGTTTCATTCATGCTTCCTGTCATTCCTTCAAGAAACACCTCTCTGGATTTGCCCTATAAGATCACTCCGTTTAATGTTGAAAAGATGGCACAAAGCCACTTGTGCCACAGACTTGAGGCAGGACACTCTCTACTTTCTCCATGACAAACTTTGAGGAACTGTGAGAAAACCAGAAAGACACAGCCTTCAGGAGAGACCACCACCTCAGCAGGTTCCTAAAATCACTCACGGGCTTGAAGCTAGAGGAACTCCATTTTCCAAGCCAGTTACTCTGCCAGCAAAGAAAACCACGGTGTGGCATTCAGCACACGGCAGAGCTAGCTCCTGGCCAGTTAAACACAGACACATGGGCTTATTTGGAACATCAATGCTTTTAGGGTTAGACGATATAGGAAGATGCGACTGGTTGCTGCAATACACAAAAGTTTATTATTGATTTTTTTTTCTTTTCTGAAGGCAAAATATAATAGAACTGAACATCAATGAATTTTGTACAACAAAAACAGTTTTAATATGGAACAGACAGTCCATGAATGTTTCTAAGTCTCAGAATGGCTTCCCTGTTTCAAAGTCATGCTTTCTTGCGGTCCACAGGGAGTTGGCACGGAAGAGATGGTGACAGCCAGCCAGCAAGGTAGGTGTAAGCCAGTGGGCTTCCCTCAGATCCGCGTCAACTGGTGCCACAGACTGGATGGGAGGATGCTCTCTACTTTCTCCATGACGAAGTTTAACGGGGCAAACAAAGTGCTGAGAAACTGCAAGAACACCAGAAAGACACACATCAGGAGAGACCTCATTCACAACTATGCGATGAGTCTTTCCCACCCACGCTCTGCATCTTAGGTCTCCGTCCTACGGAAATCTCAAAAGACATATGATTTCATGTTTATGTTTACAGGAGACAGAGGACGGCTATCAGAGCTGCATTCCAGCCCCTCAGCTCTGTTAGATAAGGGGAGAAGTGTCTGCTGACAGCCCCCTTCACTCCTCTGACAGCTGGCCCACAGTTCTGGGTTCTTCCAACCAGTCTGCAGGCCTGCTGGCTACCCATGCAGACAGATGCATAGAGTCATAAAAAGGGACTACAGGCAGGTAGCCAGTGGGCAGAAGGTTAACACAGTGACAACCCAGACTACCCAATCTGCTAGCTGGATATAGACTTCACTTGAAAAGAAAAAGGTCAAGTTTGTTAAATAGTTGTGAATTGCTTTGGGATCCTACTGTCTCCTATATATCAGGCATCCTGTGTTCAGGCAGTGAACTGCCAACTCTCTGGGGGGTATGTTCTTGTTGAACAGATGCTGCTCTGACCTTTGAGAGGTCTTTCACTTCTACTTTTCATGGAAGACTGACGCTCATTAACTCAGTAGCCTTTTAAGAAAGCTAACTATCTTGGTCTGGGACTTACTTAATATCTCAAATCAATTCTATCTTCTGGTGAAGAATTTGCCCCATTCCACAAACCATCCAGCACCTGGCAGAAAAGGTACCCTAACCCTAACCAGGGCAGACAGGTGTTAGGATGGTTTCCTTCCCCTTGATCTGTCCAGAACCAAGATACTGCCCTACTAGGGTTTAATACTGGTTCTTGTACCGTGGGGTTCTGCATCCTAGCCCCTTGTTCTTTGCACAGCAATATGGATACCACCGGAGTCCTTGTGTGATGCTGTGGGTCAGTATGCTGGACTGCAATGTCAGTTTGAACCATAAGGTCAGCGATTCAAGCTCACCAGCCACTCCTTGGAGACCCTACACAGGGTCAGAACCGACTCGAGGGCACTTAACAACAACACGGATAGCACTAAGAATCCCCCACAGTCACGGTGTACAAGGGGTAGTACATATGGAGAGGAGACACAGCTTTGTTTGAGGCCCCCCCCCACCCCGACTTGAATAAAAAGCACAAAAGAGCAGCCTTTACAAATCAAAAGGAGAGCTTCATCCTGTTTGATATCTGTTAACAGCCCCCTTTCTCACACTGCCCAACAAGATACAGTGTCTCTACTTCCCTGGATTACATCTGTCCTTCTCCACCAGGTTCCACAAGAGAATTGATGCCCAATGCCACCATTGTAAGGAGTCCTGGTATGGTGCTGTAGGATAAAGTCAGTGGTTCAAACCCACTAGCCACTCCTCAGAAACCCTACACAGGGCTGCTATGAGTATGATCTGAATTGACCTACCAACAGCCAGCCACCATTGCATGCAGTTCTCTCCCTACTCAGAATGTACCATCCTTAGAGGAACTCAACTCTTGTGGTGTAGTGAATGTGTTAAGTCCATGACTGCTAACAGAAAAGCTGGAGGTCCAAACCCACCAGTCATTCCATGGAGAGAAGACATGCCACCACCACCTGGAAGCCATGGGGGAGAGACCTCTGTCCTGTAGGGTCGCCGAGCTGAGTTAACTTATGGCAGTGGGTTTCATTTTGGGTTTGGGTTCCTGTTGTTGTTGTGAAGTGCCGTCAAGTCGATCCTGACCCATAGTGACCCTGTACAGGGTTTCCAAGGAGCAGCTGGTGAGCTTGAACCACCAACCTTGCAGTTCAAACGACTTTGCAGTCTGACACATTAGCCCACAGCGCCACACCTGGGTTCCTAGAGGGTGTGATTCGCTTGCAAAATCCATGTTGAGATGGGCTCCCTTTTGCACTAAGCTAGCTCCACCTTCGGAACCTCTCCCCACCTCTCTCCTCACCCCACCTACAAGGTAGCAACAGGCACTGCAGAGAGGTGTCCTAAGCTGCTACCCCCTATGATTTATAACAGATGAAGCGTGGTGACTTTTATCAGGGGCTACTGAAGACAGATTGTGTGGAGGAGAATGCCTTACGGAGATGCTCCTCTGTAGTTCTTTGCAGGTCTTAAAATCAGTCACCACTTTTTGGCCAGAGACTCAACCAATTATTTGGCACACAGAGAAACAGCAGTTTCACTTATAGGCTTAGGAGGAAATTTATTGCCTGAAACATCAAATCTGAATGAACAATACCAGGCAACCCTGAAACAGCCCATCTATCTTAATGTCCCAAACTTCTGTCCAGAGGACAGAGATACACGGTTCATTTTTTTGACCAAAATGCACCCTAATTCAATCAGTGTCTGGGGGTGAGAAAAAGTAACTGAAACAATAAAAAAGAGAGGGGGGCACTTCAATCGTCTGAGCCCGCTTTTCCTGAAACACCCATCATGGAAAAGATGTCTTATTAACATTCAACACGCCTCTGCTTATCTGAATAAGTTCCAGGTGTCCTACTGCAATCAGACAATTGACATTTCACTGTAATCAATATCAGACTTCAAAGAGGCCGGTGTCTATAAGTGAAGATGAGAGTCAGAAGTCAGGAGGGCTCCAGCTCTGGGAAGCAGCGAGGCCAGAGAAGGAAAGAGGGGTCTTTGAAAGCAGAAAGGGTCAGAATGCTGACCTTCCCACGTTCTGCTTGGGGCTGGATTCGGAACAATCACTTACTTATATGAGCAACCTTATCTTGATAGCCAAACATCCTAAGAAGAGTTAGTCCTAAATCTTGAGGGCCGATTAGATTAGGGGAGAGCCAGGGAAGCCTCTCAGTTGCTCACACTTCCACGTGGGTCCCCTACTGGCTGCAGATCGACATGTAAACACAGAGGAGAGTTCCCAAGCTGCGTGCAGCCTGGGGGGTGAAGGTACAATCTCCCTGCATCTCCTGAAAGTCATTATCCCACGGACTTTATCTCAGGCGGGAGTTGAGAAAACCATTTTTACAAGCTGCAAATGGTTGCCGGAGCCTATAGGGCGGAGTGATAACCTGCGGAGCTCTGCATGGGGCCTGAGGAAGTGACAAGGACAGAATGTGGAGCTGTCCCTGGGGGGAGGGGCGACGGGGCTGCTCTCATTCAGGCGGTCCATCTCTTTCCCCACCACTCTCTCCAGACCTTCTGGAAAGTGCTAAGCCTTACTGAAAGGCAAGGCAGACGGGACCCTCCCAACAGAGGGTAAAAAGCTACCTTCTCTAAACTACATCTTCAAATGACTGGTGGCCACACCACGGCCGAGTACAAAACACGAGGATGCCGGGAGCATCTTCAAATGTTATTGACTGTATCATCTGAACTAAAAAACGAAGCATCAGTAACATAAGATGAGGAGAGTGGCCCCTTGTCTGATGTTGGTAAGAGTACACCTCTCCAATAATCTGGGGGGACATTGCGGAGCCTCCCAATCACCTCTAGAGTTAGTTGTTTTCAGCAATTAGGAGGGGAGTCATTTTATTAGAGTAGACCTCAGTGGAATCACCTGGGGCATGTTTGAAATTCAGATGACCAGGCTATACCAAGCCAATGAAGAGTCCCTGGCCTGGGGCCCAGGCATTAGTATGTTCTAGACTCCCTGGGTGACTTCAAGGTAGAGCTGGAATCAGATCAATAGGAGGAGGGTCAGCACATTCACCTGTTCAGCTATAACTGCATACCATGGCTACTCAAAAGTTCAGCTTCCTTAAAACCAGAGTTCTTAGAAGCAAGAATGGCCTCAAATGCATGCTGAGACTCTGAGGGGGTCCCTTCTTAAAAATACTGATTTCTAAATGCTAAGATTCAAGATCTTGAACTTCTAAGCTGGGGATGTGTGGATTTTATGCACACAAGAGGCTGTGTGAATCTCTGTTCGGCTCCAAAATCTCACCAAGTGCTATTTAGTTAGTTTAATGAAGAATGAGGACATACTTTTACAATTGTGCTTTAAAAGATGGTGAGGGGGAGCACATGAAAGGAAGCAGCAGCAATAGCCTAATATAAATAAATTATTCTAACTTTTACTATGTTGCACTCTAATCGACTCTGAGTTTGAGCAAGAGCTTTTACTCAGAGATTGTGTTGGAAGTAGAAGACAATAGGGAATAGTGTAGGTTCATAAACTAGAGGGCATCCACACAGAGGCATCTTGGGTGGTAATGGGTTTAGAAGTCACGTTATGTAGAGAAGACTTCAGGGAGTTTAAGATATTCTGCCTCAAGACAGGAGAAGATGGACGTCAGTTACAGACTAGAGGTGGCAATGAATGCCTGAAGTTCTGATGTAGTGCTGCAGGAGTATGCACTGGACTGCAAGTTTCATTTGAACCTACCAGTTGCTCCTTGGAAATCCTATACAGGATTCCTATGAATCAGAACTGATTCGATGGCACTTAACAGCAACAACAGGAATGTATAAGTTGTCTTGAGACTGTGCTGAGGATGTAGACTTGTTCAGTACAGTTTCAGAGAGCAGAATAGGAACAACAGGAAATTAAAGGAAGGCATATCTATCAATATCAGAACGAGTGAGGAGGGTTCCAATAATAGAAAGGGCTTTGATGCTAAAGAAGTGAGCTCACTATGGCTGAAACACTGAAACATACTCAAGAGTCTACAGGGTCTCCATCAGGGATACTGTTGACGGCAATTTGCTCAAGATCCTGTTCAACTCTTAAGAGTCAATGATTGTAAGCATAAAAGAAGAGACGAGTTCTGCGGGTAGATATATGGACAGAGACACAGGTTGAGTGTGGATGGGTGGGGAGTGGGAGTATACCCACAAGTAATGGTTTGAAAGAGTCTGTTTGTACATGGGTATTGACCCTTCCTGCAAACACAACTATGATTATGGTAGAGCTCAAAGCAAGAAAAAGGATGAAAGTTTTTTAGACACTATCAAACATCTTAAGGTGAGTTGTTTGGCCTGGAGCCTCAGGACCATAGTCTGAGGGAACACTATGGTCAATTGACATGACATAATCCACAAAATAGGATGTAGAGCATTGTCTTTTGGATCTTAAAAGCTCATGAGCAGCCATGTCAGGTGCAGCTATTGGTTCCTCCAGGTGTGGAAGAAAGCAGGGTGATGAGAATTGAATTGAAGATGCTTGGAATCAATTTGTCCAAATGGAACGTGTGGACATCAGTCTCTACGACTCTGAGACCAGAAGAACTAGATGGTATCCGGCTACCACTAGCAAAGGCTCTGAAAGGTCCAGGTAGAGTAAAACCAAATTCAAAATGAATAATAAAAATAATAAAGACTGGGCTTACTGGTCAGAAAGAAACTGCAGGACCCTGAGACCATGGCCTTCAACCACCCTTCAGGTCTGTAAAGGAACTCACCCTTTTGGCCCAATTCTCAGTCAAGCAGTAGTTAGGCATATGGGGGGGTACAACAGTTGGTGAGGTATGCTTACCATGGAAAGGTCACCTGAGATGGTTGCTCAGGAACTTTTAAGATGTTGTTCTATAAAGACAATGTTCTACATCCTACTTTGGTGAGTAATCTCATACTACAAGTCCTTCACACCCTCTTAGTTCATCCCCCAAACAAGCCAAGGGTGGGTAGTATTTTTTTTAAAAATTGTTATTTTATCATCCTGAAAAATGTAAAGATCCACAAATATCCAAAGATTACAAGTAATGTCATCTAACATATAAAATGGAATCATTTCCCACACATTTTCATTTGCTAGGATTCCCTTAATTTTTATTTTATCCTTGTATACGGCATCCATTGTTTTGAAAACAGTTGAAATTTTTTGTGTATGGAATGAGGCAAAGCATGCATTAAACAAATAACCTATACTTTCGTTGACACTCAACCCTTTGATGCTCATGAAAGTTCAACAGTGAGAAAATGGCCAATACAGGCTCATCCCACCTGAAAATGGCAACTCCAGTTTCTCTCAAGCTACTTCCCCAGAAGCCTTTCTCTTGCCAAATACTCACAGCTTTGGCGAAGACTCCCATGAGTTCCGGGAACTGGTGTGTCAGGAGAGCCAGCATGGCTGTGAAGGAGCATAACCCAGCAGTAAAGAGGATGAAGAAGGGAAGCTCTTTCTTCGGGTAAACTGAGACTTCATGGAAAGCTGTGGAGAAGACCAAAAGGGAAGCATGAAGGCGGAGTGAAAGGCCTCTCAGAGAAGCTCTACATGGTGGGGCCGACTCTATGGAGTTCTGAGCCAGTTAGAAATGAAAAAGGTCTGAAATGAACAAAGAACTCTCAAACACCTAACCTGGCCTTTGCCTGCCATCTGCTTCTCCTAAGACCACGTTTAACCTTCAGATTCCTATTTAGGGGCAGCAGAGGGTTGGCCTGTGGATGTCAGACTCAGGACAGGGCAAGAGCACCAGTGATGCCTAATTTATAGTATTCCTTTCTCAACAACAAACACAAGTAAAACAGCTAAAGTTCATTCAAGTCATACATTGCATGCTCATTGCACAAAACCTGGAAAATCCCAAATCAAATATGTTGGGGGAAAATCCTTTCTACATTTTCACCTTCCTGTACTTCGTTAAGCCTGACAACGAGACACAATTTGCTTATTTGGTATTTTTTTCCCAGCATTCTCTGTGTCCATGGAGGGGGCTGCCCTGTTAGGGAGGCACTCAGAAGGAGCTCACATGCTGGCTTCCTCCACTGGCACAATTATAGGAGGTTCCTGATAACAAACAGATTTCCAGCAAACACCCACAGTAACTACACAGACAGGCTCACAACTGGCCCTCTCTAGAGGACAAACTCGCCCAGGTTTTTGCTCCTCGTGTGGCTGCCTCTCACTGTCTGGGAAGGTACTGGCCAGGAGCAGAGGGCACTGCCCTGAACAGATGAGGAGAGACTCACTGTCCCAGGGCCCTGTGGTCACCCAAAGGATAGATGCGTAATTAGAAACGGTTCTCTTTTCCTTAGGAAAGGCGACATCAGAAGCCCTGTCCTCTATGAAGCAGCTCTTGAGAAGCCACAGCCCTGAACAGTGACACATACTGTTACAAACAGAAGGTAGAGAAGACTGAGGGGTGGGGGCACAGCAGAGACCTGAATCCAGGTTGCAACTTGCCAGGATGCAAACACAGGATTGGATGTATGCTCAGGGTGTCATGTGGCAACAGCTGCAGTTTGCATGTGTCAAATGAAGTCTCCTTTAGAACATCTGACCTCTTCCTAGCCTTACCCTCCATGCCCAACCCCCAAAAGATTTTCTGGAGAGATCAAATTTTGATCATTACATTCAATTGAATACATGTGAGCAATAATTTCATAACTTATTCTTTTAAGAACTATAATCTTGTTCTAATAATTCATCTATCCTCATGGAAATTTATTTGGACCCAATTAAAACATTTAAAAGACTATGTTTTCCAGAAAACTGTCATTCTTACTAGAAAATTGAAACTTGAACAAGGATCTCCCTAAAGGGGATTCACAAAGTATGGGTATGGGCCCATGCTAGGGATTTCTGAAACCAAATGTAATGCAGTGGGAGGCAAAAGAGCTTAGGCAAGGAGGGCCACATCATTGAGCTCTGCCAGCTCCTCTAGTAACCCATCTCCCAGAGGGCCTGGCTAGCAAAGAAGCAAAGTTCCTTCTGCCACTTAAATGGCATGGCACTCACAATTTTGTGTCCAGGCTCTGCCACATGGAGCTTTACGACTATTCACTAGTGTTGGCATTTGGAGACCTACCATGCTCCCAGGCCTCCAGCATTGCACAATTCCTCGGGGCTGAGTATTTGTAACTGTTATAGCTATGAGCTACTGAGATGACTGGTTGTTCAAAGGGAAGGAGTGGCAGGAGACAAGAGGAGAAAGAGAGACTAGTCAGAGTTTGGAGATTATCCCAAGCCAGGACTACGTGAAGAGCATGGGCATGGTAGCCATACACAGTATGATGAGGTACTAACGACTTTGCCCAAATTGTCAAAACAATGGTGTATGACCGAAACCACAATAGTATTCTCCGCATGTGGTGTGGGCCATTAGGCTGCTGGTGTGAAAGGCACCTGAGGGCAGGACTGGCCCTCTGCCTGCCTTGATACAGTGTTGAGACTGCCTGCGGGTGCTGCCCATGTTACTCCAGCTCACTCTGCCCATCCCACGAGAATTTCACAGGACTTCCTCCCACCCGTGACTCATCTGCAGCTCCCTCTGAAGTCAGCTTCCTTCTCAAGCCCTAGTCTGTGAGGCCGCATTGGGCCAGAAAAAGCGTTCAGGCAGAACCTGTACGATGGATCAGCCCAGCATCACTCCTGAATCTCGCCCAACCTCACAGTCTCCACCAGTCAGTATGTGACACCTCTTTATCTAAATGTTAGTCCTTTAGGGTCATTCCCTTTGTGGAGCACTTGAAGACTTGGAGAACCAGGAACCCAAACCCACTCACAGAACTCAGTTACAACATACGCTTTGACACAGAGGCATGGTTTGAGAAGAGTAATAAAAGACCAGGTACATCATATGCATTCATCCATCCCTACCTCTTTCCAACCCCACCTTAGTCACAGCAACCTGTTTGGCTAAAGAGAAGACTCAAGAGTTGAAACTTACTTGGGAGCAGTTCTCTGTCTGCTGTTTCTGTACAGATTGGGTAAGGATAAAATAGATGCCCCTTTTCCAAGGGATAAGGGATCATCCGAAAAGCTGAAAAGGAGAGACAATATGTTAGCGGTCCAATATTTGTTTTATAACTATCAAACTTCAAAGAGGTACTCTGGAGCATTTTTTATAAGGAGGAACACTTCTACAAAAAAACTCCAGGAATGGATACAAGACCTGCTCAGCCTCTGAGGCATGCCCTAGATAAACTGTCAGAGATACATTATGATGGATTACTCAGACATTAATCTCGCACCATATATTCTGGGCAAACCTCACAGAATTGGGTGGGGGCGGGGGTGCCGAGCAGTAGGGAAGCCAGCAGTACCAATGGCCAGCGTTTCATCATCTATAAAATATTATAAAAATGTTAAAAGCACTAATCCGTTAACCCAACCGATGGTCATAACATAAACCTGGATTGAAATGCTTCCCCAAGAAGCAAACAAGGATTGACTTGGAAGTCGTCACAGAGATACAACTATGAAAGGCATTCTACCATGTCAATTAAAAAAATATATATATATGTCTAAGTAGATTAGAATTCCAACCAACATGGACAAAAACAAAAATCCAAAAATGCATGACTTGGGAGGTATTTTTAAAGTTTATGAAACTTTTAAATCTCTACTGTCATGTGGAAACCTATGAATCTGGAGAGACTGATCATCTGTGTTTGATGATGTCAGGCCACCTCATTCTGCTCTGGTGGCTTCAGACAACATTAGACCTTGCAGCTGAATATGGCTTTGCAGTCAGTCTATGGTTTCCCATGATCACCTGAGCCGCTCTCCCAGCTAAGATGTCATCAGTATGCTGGTCTCATTGTGCCTATGAATAGTGCTCGCAGAGGTCATTTTTCCTCCACAGATGTCCTTTAACTGCAGCAGACTGTAGATATAAATATAAAAACTACCACCAATTCTGGGAATATCAGGTATGAAGCTGTGCCCACATGTGGGTCACTAAGGATGGTGGCACCGCACAGCTATCGCCTCTGTCTTCAATCAGAGGACTTAGCTACAAGTTAAGCTGGGTAATTACCTAAGCCTTCTAAAAATGCTGTCACTGGACATCTTTATCTTTTGCATACTTACTTATTTCAATCAGGAATCAGAAACAAAGAAGGTTCTCCCTCACTAGAAATGACAAGGTTCCATTGTAACCAGCATCAGTGCACATATGGTATTTATTCTGGTGTCTGAATATTATTTAAAAGTAAAAACATTATGTATGTGATTCCAGCATTTGGAATGCAGTCAATCTACACCACAGTGGTATCACTCTGAGGTTACAGCACATTGCCACGGAGAATATAAATCACTATAAACGTAGGATTAGAGCACAGCCAGTTTGCTGGCAGTTTGCTGAGGTAAAAATGTTATCAATTTTCCTCTCATAGCAGAAATCTCTTAAACAGAGATTAAAACATTAAAAACACCCCAGACTTTAACTCTTCTTAACACGAAAGGCTTGTCCTAGTTTAATCAAACCTTTCTTCATGAAAATAAAGATGACTTTTGCCCCACTAAAATAAGCAAGAGAGGAGATTTACACAGGTTGTTAATACACAAAGATCACTCAAAAGAGCCAACATTTCTCTAACTGGCACTAGACTTCCAAGAAAGGAAAAAAAAAAAAAAAATGGCAAAACAAAACCAGCAAGCACAACATTTTAATACTTTTATAGAATGTACCCAAGTCTCTTCTGGCAAGGTCTGCATTTAAATTTAAAGTACAACGTTGCCAGATTTTAATGCATTGAGATGCTAAGAAAGCATCTCAAACATGTGGGAAACCCTACATGGAAGTATTGTTGGAAACGCAGATTCTTTGTGTGCAACGAGGCTGCTGGGACTAAGAACCTGCTCAGGAGTATGTGGCATAAACAACCCAGAGTTTTCAAAGTGGCTAGAAATTTGAAGGTTAAATTTGACTCAGAATCAAAGTCAGTTTGCACGGCAGGGAGCAATCTGGAGAGTGACGAGCCAGAGAGAGCTAATGATTTGTTGGTGTCTTTTCGGACAGATGCCAGACGTGTTTTATTCTAGTATTTGGCATGCATATGGAATTTTGTACTTCAAGTTGGTCTTTTCCTTCTAGTTGGTTCTGGTCTTTTTAGAGAAGGTGAAGATATTTATTATAGTAATTCTATCAGTCTATCTACGTGCACCCTGCAGTCCTCAAGACTTAGGGAGTTCTTCAGTGCTTTCTCCTTCTCACATCAATTGTCATGACGTTGAGTTCATAAAATAGTGTTAAGGTTTTTGGCTTCGCTAAACAAAAACAAATACAACTTCTGTTTGTAATCCTATCTGTTACCTACCCTATTGCACAGGGTCTGGCAGAGTGGAGGTCCAGAAAGGACGGGAGAGGCTGATGTCCCTACCTCCTGGTCCCATTCACTGCAGAGACCTAAGAGCCTCCAGCTTTAGCTACAAGTGCAAATATTAAGAACACACTGATTTGGCAGTGCAAGTAGGAATGGAAACAAGTCATTTGAACAAATCTATTTTATGGACAACTATTGTTGTTGTTGTTAAGTGCTATTGAGTCAGTTCCAACTCATAGCGATCCTGTATAGGGTTTCCAAGGAGAGGCTGGACTTTGCAGTTCAAACCAACCTTGAGGTCGAGAGCTTATCCTATGGCACCACACCAGGACTCCATGGACAACTATTGTTGTTGTTGTGAAGTGCCGTTGGGTCGGTTCCGACCCATAGCAACCCTGTATAGGGTTTCCGAGAAGCAGCGGGTGAGCTTGAACCACCGACCTTGCAGTTCAAACAGCTTTGCAGTCTGACGCATTAACCCACAGAGCCACACCAGGACTCCATGGACAACTATAGACCTCCTAAAGTCTCTGCTTGAAAGAACATACATTCCGGAGGAACTGAAAATATATGTGTATTTGGTTAAAAAACAAAATTAAATCTGGATCCCTCAAAGTTAACACGTGGTCTACAAACATTTCTGCCTTTTCCCTGTGTGCTGCCCTCTCCCCTACTTGATTTCTGCTTGACCTTTGTTGAAGACTCAAAATGAAGCTGGGAATTAGTTAATGAATACAGCAGACCCTTCACAGTCAAGTCTGAGGCATGGCACTGTCTCTTTCTAACCCTGGCCAGACAGCATTTTCCAGACTACAAGTCCATCAGTGAGCTATGGTGAATGAACCAACAGAACCAAACAGCGGACAGAGGATGAATATCTGAACAAGCTAAGTCCAGATTCTCTCAAGGATCCCCTAATGACCTTTCATTCAACCTGTGGGGTATCTGGGGAGATTGCTTTTTCAAGGAGCATCTCAAGAGAACCTTACACAGATATATAATTAGCAGTTCAACTGAACTGAGTTTGAATCCTCGCCCTGCCTCTCAAGATGTGAGTCCTCTGTGCACCCAGGGTACAGAGGGGAGGTGAGTATACACTCAGGAGCTTGTACCTACAGTGGGAAACACATGATTCAATAATCAAAGAAAAATAAGTAGAAAGTTCCCACAGTGATGAAGGAGAGGCCATTGGTGCTGTACACATCCAATGGAGGAGCAGGGAAGCCGACACCTACGTGAGGACTGGAAGTTGAGGAGCTTAACAGCTAGATGGCGCAGAGTGGGTCAGTGAATCTGTGTCTGAGTCTCTTCATCTGGAAAAATGAGAAGACTCCTAGGTACTCCCAAGGGTGCTAAAGGTATGACAGCATAGGTGTCTAAACACCGTATCTGGCTGCTCCATAAAGGTTCGTTTCCCATTAGCTTTCCTCTCAACCAAAGTTCATCTGTTCTCCATCAGTCCACCCACAAACTTATAACTGAAATGTTCCTTGCTTGTAAATACCCAGAAGCGCAAATGATAGAAGAGAAAAATGCAAAATGTATGCTCTCACATGACAGCAACGTAGGTAACATGTCATGAAGGCCATTTGCTTTTCATGAAGCATTTGGAGGCAGCAATAAAGAAAATCAATCTGAAAGTCAAAAGCCTGTGTTCCATGTTCTTCCACTTTCCAGTTATGAGGTCTTGGGAAACCCACTTTTCCTTGGCTAGAATCAAGTGATGATGCTCAATTACAGTTCTGAAGAGCATGTCTAGAATTCTGTTGCACATTCATTAACTGATGAGTGAATTCTACTTCCTTAGCATAGTACTACTTATAGTCATACCAAATATATGTATATATGGGGTCCTCATATGGTACTGTAGGACTGCTAACCACAAAGCTGGCGATTCAAACCCACCAGCCACTCTTCCGCAGAAACCTTATAGGATTGCTATGAGTCGGAACTCATCCTTGTTAAGTGTAGTCAACTTGGTTCCAACTCATAGTGACCCTGTATAGAGGAGAAGCTGATGAGCTTGAACTGCCAACCTTGTGTTCCAAACTGACTTTTCAGTCCTGCACATTAACCTGCAGTGCCATACCAAGACTCTTATATATGTATTTGGGTATACGTGTGTATATATATTAAAAACTACCAGCTGTTTCGCGGGCGAAAGATGAGGCTTTCTGCTCCTGTAAAGATTTATAGCCTCAGAAACCCCGTACAGGGTTGCTATGAGTCGGAAGTGACTCCACGGCACATCACCACCACCACTATGTATGTGTATATAGATACACATACACACACACACACACACACACACACACACATATATATATACACATACACTAAATGCTCATATTAATGTTTCTTCCATAGTATTTCAATATCTTAGTCGTCTTGGTCTTTCCAACATAATGTCTGGCACAAAGGATGGACTTAACAAAAGTTTGCTGGATAAATTTATGGCTAAATTAATGCACAATCAGAAAGAAACAGAATTTTCCATTTAGAAACTTGTTGTTGTTAAGTGCTGTCGAGTTAGTTCCAACTCATAGTGACCCTGTGTAGGGTTTCCAAGAAGTGACTTGAACTACTGACCTTGCAGTTCAAACCGACTTTGCAGTCCAGCGCATTGACCCACAGCACCACACCAGGACTCATTTAGAAACTTGTTCTTGTTAAGTGCTGTTGAGTCAATTCCGACCCATAATAATCCTGCATA